ATAATTTCAAATATCAACAATGAGTTCTAACAAGTGCATAATATACGGAATTTATATTCTAGAAATTACAGAATCCACTCAGCTTGGGAATTAACTAAAATACAAAGTTCAACTTATTAAGAAATAAAGGTTCTAATATAAAAGTTCCGACGAATCATACATCTTCATTCTTTTCTCCATTTTTTACAATCACAGTTCTCGCCAGAGTTTCATATAGGAAAGTGTAAGGAATTTTGAATTCTTAACACATTTGATGGGACTTCCATGAATCAATATAAAATACAAAACTTCCTAATGATATTTCAAAATTCTTACGCTAAGCAACATGAAAATTCCAATGTGCATATAAATATGTTAATAACTTATGCAAAACACATAAATATGCAGTATTTTCAAAAGTAACTAACATTACTCATTATAAATTCAGTAACGATACAAACACTACTATTAAACTATATTGACAATTTTTTCAGGTGCAATTCTGTGCATTGCAGTGAAATATTTCTTGATAAGATTAAGTGTTTGGTGAAGATACTGTTCCGGCCCTTGAGTATAACTACTGTACACAAAACCGGTATTGTTATCAGTGAATGGTATCGCTGGTTCGATTTGTGTACCTTCATGCCATTCATTGAATGACGTTATCGCTATGATATTTGCCTTAAAACATCAATTTTTTTTTATTCTTTTTATTGACTCAAACTGATTTTATAATTTTAACTTATTCTTCTGATGGTTACATCCTCTTTCGTAGAGCACTGTTAGGCAAAATAAACAAAAAAAATTTATTATTCCTTTTCTCAAATTATCTCCTGTTTGCAAAGGAAAAGCAGAGACGACGTAAGCCAATAACTACCCGATTTACTACAGCACACATTTTAGACAAAAATTAAACAGAGAAACAGTAGATGAAATCTAGTAATCCTCATGAACTCCTTTATGTCATGCATTATTTTACTATGCTAATAATTTTTTAGAGCCATCTTATCAGAATGAGTGAAATATTATTTGATACCCATCAAATAATGAGTTCAACTAGCACGATCAGTCTACAAATATAAAATAAATTAGCCTGTTTTCAATAATTCATAGAATTACTCCACCACACCTTTGCAATATGAGCCATTTCAAACATGTCTGCATAATATTTGCCATTCATCCGATCCCTGTAATTTGCTGCATTCCAGGGTCGTACACGACGATCATCATAACCGGGTCCCACCGAAGGAATGAAAATTAAGTCATTTTTCCTAAAACAATACAAAAATTAATTTCAGTCTCAATACTACTAGAATTAAAGTCAAACTTCGCTCACTGGATTCATCTTCACCCTTCCTCTTTTTTTCCTTTGAGCCATATTTCTAAACTATTTTTATTCAACACTGTTCAACACATAAAATCACCATCATTCATAACCGTCAATTATGAAAGTAATTTGGCAATTCGAGATATATTTCCTTTTCCTAAATTTCAATAAATTGTGGAACAAACCTGCAAAAGGCGCTCAGTGAAGGCCAAGATGATGGAGTGGAACCGTAAGAAAAGCCCTTAGCTATAAAATATGTATAAATCCCATCGAATCCAGCAGCCAACAATGAATGCCTATCTTCTGACTTAACTAAGAGACCTGAAACATGACATGATTAAGTTAAATTACCCAATATATAAGTTCCAGAAATAAATATTTTCTCATGCAACTTAAAAAAATAAAATTTGAGTTCGTCAATTGAAAACATCATATTTAAACTTGCCAATAAAAAGAAAAAAAAAATAAAATTTGAGTTTATCAATTGAAAAGATCATATTTAAACTTGCCAATAAAAAGAACATCGTATTTGTTGCCCCGTACAGTGAATTTCCCAGATGGATCGGTTAACTTTTTCCATTCATCAGAAGGTAAAAGATATGAATCATAAAAGTATAATAATGGCAGCTGCTCGTCATTGCGACTATTTTTTTCATCAATCACTGCAATCTTATCGAATAATTTTTCATGATCAATTAAAGTTAACCAACGGCGGAATTAAGTAAATTATTTAAGTAAAGAATGTTATTATATAATTCCTTCGGAATTATCCACCTTCTACATACTATCAAAATTCAGGGAAGATTTTTGACATGTTAGTGTTGACATGTTTAATATCTTTCGAAGATAATGAGTAAATTCACTTACTTCTTCGTGATTTTGGCCGTTTCGTTCTATAAAGAGCTGAATGATTACCATAGTTGTCAATAATATATTCGATGTCGGTACGCAGCGATTCACCATTTCTATCTTTGTAAGGCTCCATATGGAAAGATAATTTCATGCGATACTTGGCTACAATATCTAGCAGGATAGGCATTAAATCATCCCATGGATGTCCTGAAAAAAAGAATGAATCAACTGGAAAACTAGCAATTGGAAAACTAGGATTCTGAAAAATAGAACTATGAAATTTCAATGCTAAAAATTCGCTTAAAATTCTTGAAAAAAATAAAAAAATAAAAAAAAAAACAAAAACTGGAACATCTCTGGAAAACTAGAGTTTCTGAAAAATAAAACTATGGAATTTCAATGCTACTCGCTTAAAATTCTTCAAAATAAAATACTGTTTCATTTTGTAATATATCATATTGCTTCCAAATCCCATTAAGGATTTCTTAAAGAACCGAATTTCTCAATACTCAAAACACTCTGAAAGTTTATAACTTAGATTTTCAAAGGAGCAACTGAATCTAAGCATTTAGAAGCAGTTATTTCTCGATCATCAAGAAATATGTGAACAATAAACGACCGTACCCTGTTCATCAGAGATTCTTGGAGGAAACCATGAAACAATAACAACATCTATACCAGCTGATGACATCCATTTCATGTGCTGTTCAATTACTGCTGGATTTCGACTACTATACGGCCCCAAGAATGGATAAAAACTAGAACCAATATCCAATGGAGGAACATGAAAACCTGAAATGAAATTTAATCCTTTCATTTGCCAGTATTACATATAATGAAGCGATGCAGCACATTGCTATGTTCAAAAAGTGGGAATGCAAGATGTCTTTTTTTTTTTGTACATTCGGGAAGCATTTAACTAAATAGCTTTACGTGCTATATGTTTACAAGGGATCTATTAAAAGTAACATTAAAATCAAACGATTTTATAAAATCAAAATGACGTCTTACAAGAAATCAGCTCTCAAAATTGGAAATTTCAGGGCGCTCAAGAAAATTATAACCACCTGTTGGATACTGTTTTGAGATACTTGGATCCCAGTGTGGAATAAAACGATGATTCCAATGATAATACTTCCCGTAATCAAATTCTGGATTTCCATACCATGGATAATAGAATATTTGTATGGAATATTCATCAGTATCCTGAAAACAGTTGCTAATTTATTTACGCAACAGTTGTTTCAGATTTACTTCATATTTTTAAATTAATTACAAAACTTCACATTATTAGAGTAAAAAATACTTCCAAGAGAGGTGATGCAACAGAAGCTAATTCACTCTCCATATGGTCTGTTTCAGCAGCGAATTTTTCAACTGTTACTTCATTCTTCTTCATCGTACTATCCAATTTAAATTTCGGATGCTTTACTAGTTGAAATTTTCGTGCAGCATTCTAAATTTACGTATAAATAATATTAAAATGATAGCTAAACAGCGAAATTCTGAAAAACAATGTCAAAGTGACGATTAAAGTAACAATAGAACCTAATAAAGATTTTGAAAATTAATTTACAATTTTTCCTCAAAATGCCAACCTGTTCATTTTGAATAGAAGTGAAATAAAATATTATAAACACACTTGCAACTAAAGCGACCACAAGTAGCCATTTTATCAAAAAATTACCAATCGATGCCATGGCTAAATATACATATGAGTAGTAACTATCGTTAGTTTTGTATGATTGTTACTAATAAATTACTACTGCCGACAAAATCAGTATTACCATCACATCTCTAGTCTGATAGTGAATGACGATAGACAAAAAGAACGATCTAAGGCAACAGTTATTGAAATTTTGTTTTCATTTTATTTCTAGCATTCAGTAAGCAAGGAATATGTGCAATTTAAAATGATAATGGGAAAAATGTTTGAATTAGTACAGCAAAAAACATTGATCAAACTGAATCAAAATTAAGTTCCTTTAAGCTAAAATGAAAATTTATATGCATACATAAATTTACTCCTTTTTTCCTTTTGTCCTTATTTGTTTGAATCAGTTTGTTTGTAAATTATTGAAAAAAGTATAGAACATGGATATTTTATAAACCAACTTCTTCGTACATTATCAATTGCTGATCGATTTCACATAAATTCTCACCACTTTCATATCGATTAGTTGGTTCGATTTAAAATGTCTAC